GGGCGGGCCAAGTTCTTGGTTAACAAACGTGAGATTAGGGGTAGATTGGAGGCTCAATCTTGTCTTATCTAAGCTAACAAACAAGCTCTCGAGGAAAACAATAAGACTAAAAATTCCACCTCTCACCGCACACATTCTTTTCTTTCTTTCTTCTGCAAAGCCTAAAATTACCCAAAAAAGGAGCAAAGAAAATCTGTAAAAACGTTAATCTTAAAACAACGTATCTAATGCAAAGAAGGGACATGTGGTTCTTGGCGTGAGGATTTAGAGGAAACCACAATAAACGAGGCCGAATACAAAAGGGGTTTTGCACCAAACCCCTCTGTTTTAACGAAATATGCGCGTTTCCCCACTGTATTTTAAAAACTGCACCAGACCCCTTTGTGTTTAAGTGACCGATGTAAACGCTCCTTTTTTTCAATTTCTTGTTAACGGTGTTAATTTTTATACAAAAACCCCGTTATACCCTTCAAATATTATATATATATATATTTACGATAAATTGAATTTCTCACGATATATTGGATATATCGCGAGAAATTGAATTTAAAAATTCTTACGATATATTGGATATATCGCGAGAAATTGAATTTAAAAAAAAGAGTTGTCTCGCATGTTCGAACCTGAGACCTCACATGAGCATGCAAAGCAAGCTACCACTACACCACTCAAGCTTGAGTGTTAAATGTGGTAAAGTTTAATATACATAGACATTACATATGGATAAATGAAATTTAATTTAAAAGTAATATAAATCATATTAAATTAAATTATTAAAATATAAATATATGATAAATTAAAATATAATGAACCAAGTTATATAAAATTAACCAAACAAAAATATAAAAATAACTTATTATGTTAAACAAAAACAAAATAATAAAAATAAATTATAAATAAATTTAAAATTCAAAGTTAAAATAATAATATTTATCAAATTATATTTAGATTATTTTATATTTTATTATTTGTTGTAATTTATATTATTTTATTGCATTGTTCATTTTATATTATCTTAGTTAACAAACTTTATTTATTTTGTTTATCTTAAGATAATGTAATCAAATTATGTTAAATTTTAATAATAAAATTAGAAATTAAATTATTTTTTAAAAAATAAATCATTTACTAAAAAATTATAATTTATTTCAAATTTTTTAGTGATATTGTATGTTAGAGTAAATTATATTACATGTATTTGCTAAATTGTGTTTTTTTTTATTATATTATAATAATTTTTGATTTTTATTTACTTTAATCTATTAATAACTTATTTGATTTATTATATTATTTTAGTTTACAATTTTTATACTTTATTATCTTATAATATTTTTATTTTATTTTTATTTAGGGGTGGCTCGTCCACGTCGTGTGATGTCTTAGTGCTCGCTTAGGCTTCGGCCTCTTATATTGTACCAAAAAAATAAATAAATAAATAAATAAATAATTCAATATTTAGTTTAATTTTAATTAATGTTACTATATTAAATTTTATCTTACTTTATTTTAATTTAATTGTTACATTATTTTTATGTTCATTTAATTTATTTCAAGTTATTATTATTATTATTATTATTATTATTATTATTATTATTAATTATTTAATTTATATTTAGTTACCTTTTAGATTTTTATTTATTTTATTTACTTTAATTTATTATAACATAATAACTTATCTGATTTATTATATTATTTTACTTTACAATTTTTATACTTTATTATCTTATAATATTTTTAGTTTAGTTGTATTTATTTTATATTTAATTTTATTATCATTTTTTTCATTTCAAAATTTATATAATTAAATTATTTTAGTAATTAAAAATTAAAAATTTATTTATCTTTAATTCGTGCTACTATATATTAAATTTTATCTTACTTTATTTTAATTTAATTGTTTCATTATTTTTATGTTAATTTATTTTATTTCAAGTTATTATTATTAATAGTTATTTAATTTATATTAATTTACGTATCAGATTTTTATTTATTTTATTTTCTTTATTTTTATTTTATTTAATCATTTTCGTAATATATTATAAATATATGTGTGTTCAATAGATAACACAACATTCATGTAGCCCAGTGGCTTCGTTGGCATGCTCTCTCTTGGGCACCCCGGGTTCGAGTCTCACTTCCTGCATTATAAATTTTTGGCTTTTGCAAATAAGATTCAGGAGGGTAAAATGGTAAATTAGTAATTCTGAAAATAAAAAAAAATTGAATAAATCTTGCAGTTAGAGAAGGTGTCACACACGAGCGGTTAACTTGGACGGAATGGGGGAACCGTGCAACAATTACATAAACACACAAGGGGCCGGGGTCGAGTCTCACTTCCTGCACTATAAATTTTTGGCTTTTGCAAATAAGATTCAGGAGGGTAAAATGGTAAATTAGTAATTCTGAAAATAAAAAAAAATTGAATAAATCTTGCAGTTAGAGAAGGTGTCACACACGAGCGGTTAACTTGGACGGAATGGGGGAACCGTGCAACAATTACATAAACACACAAGGGGGTCTGGTGCAGTTTTTAAAACACAGTAGGAAAACGCCCACATTTCGTTAAACATAGGGAGGTTTGGTGCAATTTACCCAATAAAAAGCAAAGAGGAAAATCACATGAAACAAACTCATTTATTAATTAATTTTTGCCGTTCGGCGCGTTCTTGAAGAGTTGAATAGAGAGCCCATCTGAAGGTAAATGGTTGAATAGAGAGCCCATCTGAAGGTAAATGGTGACATTTGGTAAACAAGGTTACAGGAACGCATGACCCTTTAATTAATAATAATTAGCACAATCTTTAAAATCTTCATTTTTTTGTCCGATTGGCCATTGCTGTTTCCATTCATATTCATTAATGAAAAAAAAAAGTTAGTAAGAAAGGTCCCTGCGTTTTATTAAAACCAATCGGGTTGGCTCAAGTGGTAAGGATGTCGTTTAAGCAAGGTATCGAGTTTGAATCCTTTTATAGATGCAGAAAATTTTTGTTGGGAGACTCAACCACCACTGCTAAGTGTGCAACCCGGGTCGACCAACAATGGAGGAGTGGCCCGGATTTTTATTAATTTCTTCACTCAAAATTTGTAAGGCTGTCTAATGCCTGTCTGCGTGTGTCAAGTGTGGTGGCCCTGTGGGATTATGTGGTGATGTGCGCGTGGGTGTTTTTTCTTTTGGGAAATTAAAGATTACTGTGTGCCTCATTAATCCCCATTACCCATCTCCCAATTTTGTTCACCACACCACAGCACCC